AACCCGGCCATTGTGAGCCCTGAAGCTGGGAATGTTACCTGCCCAAAAGACTGGATTGCATTTGGACGTAAATGTTTTTATTTGTCTGAAAACACAAGTAACTGGAGATCCAGCCAGACCTCCTGCATGGAGCAGGTGGCCCATCTAACTCACTTTGACAATCTGGAGGAGCTGGTAAGAAAGGATCAGGAGTTGGTTTGTTGTTTGCTGATGTGTGTTGTGATAAGAGCAGCAAGGCTGCGTCACCGCCACCAGGCCGCCTGCGTGGCTAGCTTATGCCCCAAAATAATTACACTGAAACTGTATTCTTTTAAACACTGCCTGGCCCGTTATCTGTAGCCTCTTATTGGCTAGCTCTTACATATCGATCTAACCCATTTCTAATATCCATGTAACACCACGAGGTGTCTTACCAGGGAAGATCTTAACCTGCATCTGTGTCCGGTAGGAGAATCATGGCGACTCCTTGACTCAGCTTCTTTCTCCCTGTATTCTGTTCTGTTTACTCCACCTACCTAAGGGTTGGCCTATCAAATGGGCCTAGGCATTTTCTTTATTAATAAGAAATCAATCCCACATCACTTGTGGAATATGTTTTGCCTTGCCATAGAGAGCTTAAAGCAGGAACATGAGTAAGGTTTCCACCCTAGGCATTGGGCACATGGGGTACATGTTAGCATGTGCCATTTGTGATGGTAACACATCTGACTGTAGCGCTGAGACATTCCAAAGATATTCTCTCCTATAGTGCTAATAATACTCAACGTGCAAGGCCAAACATACGTTTGAGATTCATGGTGGTCATACAAGTCTTTGTCTGAGCCGGCGGGTGTTGCAAACTTAAGTTAACAGCTGTTAATAACTGTAAATACAGACTTAACAAGGGACTTTTACAGCCCCAGAAAAAGGGGTATCTGTCAGCTTACTACGGTTAATGACAGGAAAATGCATTCACTGAGAACTGAGGGTTATTTAGGCTCTAAAGTTCCTGGCCCTCAGTTCAAACCTGCTACCATCCCAAGAGGAGGCTGTAGGACAGAGACTCAAGGCTCATCTGAAACTGAGAGACACATGTCTTTGCTTTCTGTGTTTTTGACAGGATTTCCTGAATAGAACATATGGGCATTCTGCTGCGTGGATCGGACTGCACAGAGAGTCATCAGAGCAGCCTTGGATGTGGACAGACAACACTGAATATAACAACTTGTATGTTTTCAGAAAGCTTTTTCTTTTACTGTGTTCAAGTGTTGTGATTGTGTGAGTTGTTGTGCAAGCTGAAAGGCTGAGTAATATAAAGAGAACTCAACTTGAAAGGGAGAAACCCTTGGGCTGGAGGTGTGCCTTGGGTCTGGTTGTATGTTACATAGAGTCCCCAGTATCCACATCTTGGCAAATTTACATCTGTCAGAGTCACCTAGTGTTGTTTCATTCCAAATCTTTAGCCTGATGATGGCATCTGGGGAAGATGCTGTCTGCTCTCAGCACTTAGAAATCTCTCCTTGTAGATAACTGCCCTTGTGGGATGCAGACAGAACTGCTGATGTCCACTAAGGGCTCTGAATCCCCAGGAATCCACTGCAGAACTGCTGGATAGGACTTGTCAAACAGCTGTGCGCACAGCTGCTTCTGTCACTGAAGCAGAGACTTCATGCGTTTTGGGAACCTTCTCATCATCAAAGGGCACCCAGGACAGTGTTTGGATGTGAGCATAGCCATTTTGAACAGACCCATTCTCTGAAACAGTGAATGTCCATCATTAAAGACCTTTAGAATTAACTAAGTGCATTTTCACCCCCTTTCGAACATGTGAGAAATTCTTCAAGATAGAATTGAAAACCCCCTTGCAATGCTACCCATGGCTGAATGAAGTTCATGTGAACATGGCAGAGAGCAGCAGTCAAATGCTTTGTACACACAGTACAGGGTCCAACATGGATGAGTGACAAAGGAATGATAACCAAGTGGAACCCTGAGAATGAAAAAGTCACTAGGTGTAACACTAGTGTTGGTGATTCCTCATGGCCTCTGCCTTTCTGTGATTCGTGCTATAAACAAGCAGTGGACAAGAGTGAGATATCATTGCTGGAGGAAATGCAGTGGCCGACTCTGCAGACATTTTGTTTTTATTTTGTTTTAGGACACTCATCCGAGGAGTTGGAAACCATGCCTACCTGAGTGACAGAGGGATCAGCAGTAGCAGGGACTACATACCTAGGATGTGGATTTGTAGCAAGCCCAAATCTATACTTTAGTAGATTCACAGCTTGTGTAGAGAGTGTGTCAAAGTCATCATGAGAGATCTGTAACATATCATCTATAGTTACAGCATTTTTTTATCTTAAATAAATATAACAAGCAATTCATATTCTGTGGTGACATCATTGGTGAAAATTATCACAGACGTCTATACTTACGGGTACTTGAGAGAGTATGGGTGATTCTAAATTAAGTAAGTGTTTTGCTATGGGTTGGCCATATGAATTACAAACACATCAGTATTAGTGACCCCCACATTTATGGCCAGACAATGAAATTTTTTTCATTAGCTTTTCCTTTGAATGACAGGTACTGTTAAAATTGAAGAGAGGAGCTGGGCAGTGGTGGCAGATGCTTTTAATCCCAGCACTTGGGAGGCAGAGGCAGGTGGATTGCTGTGAGTTTGAGGCCAGCCTAGTCTAAAGAACAAGAGCCAGGACAGGCTCCAAAGCTACACACAGAAATCCTTTCTCAACCCCCCCTCAAAACAAACAAACAAACAAACAAACAAACAAACAAACAGTGACAGGATTGAGTCAAGATGGGTGAAACACAGGGCTCCTGTAGAGGGCTAGAGGGAGACAGAGGAGTGGAGTCTCTCCTGTACTCTCTCCCCATGGCCCTGGGAATCCTGCAGCAGGCTGCACCAGAGGTCTGTAGTCACCAAGGAGGAGCCTCAGACATGGATGCCACAGCTGCTGCAACCCAAGCCAGAGCTGGAGTGAGGCCCTGCTGTTAGAAAGTCAGGGAAGAGTGGCTGAAAGAATGGCTCTTTCTCCAGTAAATGTGCCTTGGCATGTATGTAATTTCTGTTATCAGAACCTTTTAAAAAATATTTGAAGATTGATTTAAGATGGTGACTCGTAGGGTGGGTTTTTCTTTTTTTCTTGTTCTCAACCTGGAATCTCCACTGCTGTGCAACTGCCCTCAGCCTGCAGGTGTGATGGTCATACCTAAGGTGCCTTCATTGAGGGCACAGAGATGTGCAGAGACCTGAAGCTCCAGTAGATTCTGTCCCCAGATGCCCTGCCTATCTGAAAGATCCCCTTGTCTCTGGGCAACAAGAGCATATCCCAGACTGGTGCTATTATTTATTATTATTGTTTATAGTTGTATTTGGGTTAGTTCTGTCTTATTTAGACAAAAAGAGGGAGATGTAGGGATAAGCCCTCCCCTTGGGGCGGGCTGCCCTCCGGCGTATGTTTACTGATAAATTGGGCGCGCATCTGCGCGCCCCTTCCTGCCTACTCTGGGTACTCCTCTGGAACCTTGGTTTTGTGAGTCTGGTTTTGTCATTAAACTTGTCCAAACACCTATTATCATTGGTCCTCATTAATCCAACCGCCACATTCAATCACCCTCACTCTGAGAAACATCAGTATGTCTGTAATGGAGACCTTTTTATTTTCTTGATTGGACCTCAAAAAACCTAGCACTGGCAGGACGGTAAACAGCAGCCTGGATCTCTCACAGGCTCTGCCCCCTAATGCACCCCCATGACCAGCCTGTCTCTGAGGAATGGCGGGATGCCCACGGAGAGTAGTGTATTTTATGGTTTGGGCCATCTCAAAAAACCTCCATGGTGTGTGCTGCCACCACATGCCATGTTGCTGTACATGGTGCGTGCTATGGCTGCAGCTGTATTTGTTCTGTCTTTCTCTACAGGCTGTGTGGAGGCCCAAAAATGTGAGCCTGGTTCCACCTCGTCTGATGGTTATGGAGTTGTAGGTTTCTCAAAGTAGCTGACAAGCATATTAGCATGTCCCACACAGCATGTGATTATTTAATTGTTTTGACTTTAAGATAGGCCATACAAGTAGGTCCATTCAATCCTGACAGGTGGTCAGTTTATGCAAATGTACTTCTGCTCCTTCTTTTATAACTATGAGGTCACCTGGGCAGTCGCTGTCTTCAGGATTCATGGTCTAAGGCTGCTTCACAGATTAAACAACCAAATGCTAATGACTTGATGTCTCAAACTGTTAAAGGAATTAACTGTTTGAGTTGTCCTTTCTATCAAGTATACAAAGTTTTTTGTTACATTCTCTCTCCACCTCCCTACACCCATTTGTATTGGGTATAAAAACTTTGGGAAAAAATAAATGTGGGTTATTTCAGTATTCACTGAAATACCCTCCTGGTAATTTTCTATGGCTCCTGTATTATTATTTTCCATGTGTCTTCATAGTCTCATATTTCTAACCCCCATACCCCGACCCTGGCAAGAGGTATTTTTGTCGAGGCTGAACCATGACAAATCTGTGTTGACACACATGGACAATGCTGTTTCTGGAGACCATATGGGCCTTCTTGGTCTGTGCACTGCTATGTTGATATTAGTAGTCTGTGCTGTCCCCCGAGGCCATGTTAGTGTCTGTAGACTGAGATGCTGCTGGGGGCCACGTGGATACCATGACTCCTGTTACCACCAGGGGCTCTGTGGGCTTCTGAGGTCTGTGCTACCACTGGAGGCCATGCTGATGTTCATGGCTTGGGCCATGGTCTGTACTGCCTCTTCAAGCCATGTTAACACCACTTGCCCACGATGCCACCAGAGGCCATGCAAGATTATCTCATTTAGGAAAATAGCATTTTTCAGTGTTCTGTTCTTAGTTCATTTAGCATCCCCTCTTTTTTTCAATCCACTTTATTTCAGATAAACAGCATGACACTTTCTAAAATAATTGACTACTTCCTCATATTGAAATTAGTTTGCATTCAGCATTTTTAATTATCTTATTTACAGTATATGTTAATACCAGAGATTGGAGGAGAAAGATCACTGACCCAAATCTTCATGACCAAATTAATCAAAGCATTTTTTTTATTTGTGTACATGGCGTGTCTCCCCCTCAGGTGAGGAGTGAGTGGTAAGTATTGGTGGTGTGGGAGACAAGATTTTTATGAAGCTCAATGGTTGGGGGTGTAATTGGAGGCCACTTGTTTGTTTCCTGACTGCCCAGACCTGAAATAATCACACAGAATCTAATATTACGGCACTGCTTGGCCTATTAGCTCATGCTTCTTATTGGCTAGCTCTTATATCTTAAATGAACCCATTTCTAGCTGGGCAGTGATGGCACACATCTTTAAACCCAGCAATCAGGAGACAGAGGAAGGTGAATCTCTGTGTGTTCAAGGCCAGCTTGTCTACATGAACTAGTTCCAGGAAGCTTCCAAAGCTGCAAAGAAACTCTTTCTCAAAAAACAAACAAAAAAATTAACCCATTTTTATTAATCTGTGTATTGCCTCATGGCTATGGCCTACCAGTAAGGTTCTGTCCTGTATGCAGCATCTGTCTCCATGTACTCTCTCCTCTATCTGCTTGGAATTTCTGCCTTGTCCTATTCAGTGCTGTAATAGGTCCAAAGAAGCTTCTTTATTAACCAATGGTATCACAGCATACAAGGGAGTTTCCCACATCAAGGGAGTTACCAAATGGTGAACTTGACAGACAAAAGTGGTGGGGTTACAGGAGCAGAACATAAGCTTACATATTAGTGCTACACAGGTTCCTTAAACAAAAACATGGTTGCAAAGTAGGCATATTGAGGTAGTCATGAGCAACAGGGAGTCAAAAGGTAGTAATAATATGTAGCAAGACTAATAAAAACTGAGAAACAGANAATAAGAAATCAATCCCACATCACTTGTGGAATATGTTTTGCCTTGCCATAGAGAGCTTAAAGCAGGAACATGAGTAAGGTTTCCACCCTAGGCATTGGGCACATGGGGTACATGTTAGCATGTGCCATTTGTGATGGTAACACATCTGACTGTAGCGCTGAGACATTCCAAAGATATTCTCTCCTATAGTGCTAATAATACTCAACGTGCAAGGCCAAACATACGTTTGAGATTCATGGTGGTCATACAAGTCTTTGTCTGAGCCGGCGGGTGTTGCAAACTTAAGTTAACAGCTGTTAATAACTGTAAATACAGACTTAACAAGGGACTTTTACAGCCCCAGAAAAAGGGGTATCTGTCAGCTTACTACGGTTAATGACAGGAAAATGCATTCACTGAGAACTGAGGGTTATTTAGGCTCTAAAGTTCCTGGCCCTCAGTTCAAACCTGCTACCATCCCAAGAGGAGGCTGTAGGACAGAGACTCAAGGCTCATCTGAAACTGAGAGACACATGTCTTTGCTTTCTGTGTTTTTGACAGGATTTCCTGAATAGAACATATGGGCATTCTGCTGCGTGGATCGGACTGCACAGAGAGTCATCAGAGCAGCCTTGGATGTGGACAGACAACACTGAATATAACAACTTGTATGTTTTCAGAAAGCTTTTTCTTTTACTGTGTTCAAGTGTTGTGATTGTGTGAGTTGTTGTGCAAGCTGAAAGGCTGAGTAATATAAAGAGAACTCAACTTGAAAGGGAGAAACCCTTGGGCTGGAGGTGTGCCTTGGGTCTGGTTGTATGTTACATAGAGTCCCCAGTATCCACATCTTGGCAAATTTACATCTGTCAGAGTCACCTAGTGTTGTTTCATTCCAAATCTTTAGCCTGATGATGGCATCTGGGGAAGATGCTGTCTGCTCTCAGCACTTAGAAATCTCTCCTTGTAGATAACTGCCCTTGTGGGATGCAGACAGAACTGCTGATGTCCACTAAGGGCTCTGAATCCCCAGGAATCCACTGCAGAACTGCTGGATAGGACTTGTCAAACAGCTGTGCGCACAGCTGCTTCTGTCACTGAAGCAGAGACTTCATGCGTTTTGGGAACCTTCTCATCATCAAAGGGCACCCAGGACAGTGTTTGGATGTGAGCATAGCCATTTTGAACAGACCCATTCTCTGAAACAGTGAATGTCCATCATTAAAGACCTTTAGAATTAACTAAGTGCATTTTCACCCCCTTTCGAACATGTGAGAAATTCTTCAAGATAGAATTGAAAACCCCCTTGCAATGCTACCCATGGCTGAATGAAGTTCATGTGAACATGGCAGAGAGCAGCAGTCAAATGCTTTGTACACACAGTACAGGGTCCAACATGGATGAGTGACAAAGGAATGATAACCAAGTGGAACCCTGAGAATGAAAAAGTCACTAGGTGTAACACTAGTGTTGGTGATTCCTCATGGCCTCTGCCTTTCTGTGATTCGTGCTATAAACAAGCAGTGGACAAGAGTGAGATATCATTGCTGGAGGAAATGCAGTGGCCGACTCTGCAGACATTTTGTTTTTATTTTGTTTTAGGACACTCATCCGAGGAGTTGGAAACCATGCCTACCTGAGTGACAGAGGGATCAGCAGTAGCAGGGACTACATACCTAGGATGTGGATTTGTAGCAAGCCCAAATCTATACTTTAGTAGATTCACAGCTTGTGTAGAGAGTGTGTCAAAGTCATCATGAGAGATCTGTAACATATCATCTATAGTTACAGCATTTTTTTATCTTAAATAAATATAACAAGCAATTCATATTCTGTGGTGACATCATTGGTGAAAATTATCACAGACGTCTATACTTACGGGTACTTGAGAGAGTATGGGTGATTCTAAATTAAGTAAGTGTTTTGCTATGGGTTGGCCATATGAATTACAAACACATCAGTATTAGTGACCCCCACATTTATGGCCAGACAATGAAATTTTTTTCATTAGCTTTTCCTTTGAATGACAGGTACTGTTAAAATTGAAGAGAGGAGCTGGGCAGTGGTGGCAGATGCTTTTAATCCCAGCACTTGGGAGGCAGAGGCAGGTGGATTGCTGTGAGTTTGAGGCCAGCCTAGTCTAAAGAACAAGAGCCAGGACAGGCTCCAAAGCTACACACAGAAATCCTTTCTCAACCCCCCCTCAAAACAAACAAACAAACAAACAAACAAACAAACAAACAGTGACAGGATTGAGTCAAGATGGGTGAAACACAGGGCTCCTGTAGAGGGCTAGAGGGAGACAGAGGAGTGGAGTCTCTCCTGTACTCTCTCCCCATGGCCCTGGGAATCCTGCAGCAGGCTGCACCAGAGGTCTGTAGTCACCAAGGAGGAGCCTCAGACATGGATGCCACAGCTGCTGCAACCCAAGCCAGAGCTGGAGTGAGGCCCTGCTGTTAGAAAGTCAGGGAAGAGTGGCTGAAAGAATGGCTCTTTCTCCAGTAAATGTGCCTTGGCATGTATGTAATTTCTGTTATCAGAACCTTTTAAAAAATATTTGAAGATTGATTTAAGATGGTGACTCGTAGGGTGGGTTTTTCTTTTTTTCTTGTTCTCAACCTGGAATCTCCACTGCTGTGCAACTGCCCTCAGCCTGCAGGTGTGATGGTCATACCTAAGGTGCCTTCATTGAGGGCACAGAGATGTGCAGAGACCTGAAGCTCCAGTAGATTCTGTCCCCAGATGCCCTGCCTATCTGAAAGATCCCCTTGTCTCTGGGCAACAAGAGCATATCCCAGACTGGTGCTATTATTTATTATTATTGTTTATAGTTGTATTTGGGTTAGTTCTGTCTTATTTAGACAAAAAGAGGGAGATGTAGGGATAAGCCCTCCCCTTGGGGCGGGCTGCCCTCCGGCGTATGTTTACTGATAAATTGGGCGCGCATCTGCGCGCCCCTTCCTGCCTACTCTGGGTACTCCTCTGGAACCTTGGTTTTGTGAGTCTGGTTTTGTCATTAAACTTGTCCAAACACCTATTATCATTGGTCCTCATTAATCCAACCGCCACATTCAATCACCCTCACTCTGAGAAACATCAGTATGTCTGTAATGGAGACCTTTTTATTTTCTTGATTGGACCTCAAAAAACCTAGCACTGGCAGGACGGTAAACAGCAGCCTGGATCTCTCACAGGCTCTGCCCCCTAATGCACCCCCATGACCAGCCTGTCTCTGAGGAATGGCGGGATGCCCACGGAGAGTAGTGTATTTTATGGTTTGGGCCATCTCAAAAAACCTCCATGGTGTGTGCTGCCACCACATGCCATGTTGCTGTACATGGTGCGTGCTATGGCTGCAGCTGTATTTGTTCTGTCTTTCTCTACAGGCTGTGTGGAGGCCCAAAAATGTGAGCCTGGTTCCACCTCGTCTGATGGTTATGGAGTTGTAGGTTTCTCAAAGTAGCTGACAAGCATATTAGCATGTCCCACACAGCATGTGATTATTTAATTGTTTTGACTTTAAGATAGGCCATACAAGTAGGTCCATTCAATCCTGACAGGTGGTCAGTTTATGCAAATGTACTTCTGCTCCTTCTTTTATAACTATGAGGTCACCTGGGCAGTCGCTGTCTTCAGGATTCATGGTCTAAGGCTGCTTCACAGATTAAACAACCAAATGCTAATGACTTGATGTCTCAAACTGTTAAAGGAATTAACTGTTTGAGTTGTCCTTTCTATCAAGTATACAAAGTTTTTTGTTACATTCTCTCTCCACCTCCCTACACCCATTTGTATTGGGTATAAAAACTTTGGGAAAAAATAAATGTGGGTTATTTCAGTATTCACTGAAATACCCTCCTGGTAATTTTCTATGGCTCCTGTATTATTATTTTCCATGTGTCTTCATAGTCTCATATTTCTAACCCCCATACCCCGACCCTGGCAAGAGGTATTTTTGTCGAGGCTGAACCATGACAAATCTGTGTTGACACACATGGACAATGCTGTTTCTGGAGACCATATGGGTGTTCTTGGTCTGTGCACTGCTATGTTGATATTAGTAGTCTGTGCTGTCCCCCGAGGCCATGTTAGTGTCTGTAGACTGAGATGCTGCTGGGGGCCACGTGGATACCATGACTCCTGTTACCACCAGGGGCTCTGTGGGCTTCTGAGGTCTGTGCTACCACTGGAGGCCATGCTGATGTTCATGGCTTGGGCCATGGTCTGTACTGCCTCTTCAAGCCATGTTAACACCACTTGCCCACGATGCCACCAGAGGCCATGCAAGATTATCTCATTTAGGAAAATAGCATTTTTCAGTGTTCTGTTCTTAGTTCATTTAGCATCCCCTCTTTTTTTCAATCCACTTTATTTCAGATAAACAGCATGACACTTTCTAAAATAATTGACTACTTCCTCATATTGAAATTAGTTTGCATTCAGCATTTTTAATTATCTTATTTACAGTATATGTTAATACCAGAGATTGGAGGAGAAAGATCACTGACCCAAATCTTCATGACCAAATTAATCAAAGCATTTTTTTTATTTGTGTACATGGCGTGTCTCCCCCTCAGGTGAGGAGTGAGTGGTAAGTATTGGTGGTGTGGGAGACAAGATTTTTATGAAGCTCAATGGTTGGGGGTGTAATTGGAGGCCACTTGTTTGTTTCCTGACTGCCCAGACCTGAAATAATCACACAGAATCTAATATTACGGCACTGCTTGGCCTATTAGCTCATGCTTCTTATTGGCTAGCTCTTATATCTTAAATGAACCCATTTCTAGCTGGGCAGTGATGGCACACATCTTTAAACCCAGCAATCAGGAGACAGAGGAAGGTGAATCTCTGTGTGTTCAAGGCCAGCTTGTCTACATGAACTAGTTCCAGGAAGCTTCCAAAGCTGCAAAGAAACTCTTTCTCAAAAAACAAACAAAAAAATTAACCCATTTTTATTAATCTGTGTATTGCCTCATGGCTATGGCCTACCAGTAAGGTTCTGTCCTGTATGCAGCATCTGTCTCCATGTACTCTCTCCTCTATCTGCTTGGAATTTCTGCCTTGTCCTATTCAGTGCTGTAATAGGTCCAAAGAAGCTTCTTTATTAACCAATGGTATCACAGCATACAAGGGAGTTTCCCACATCAAGGGAGTTACCAAATGGTGAACTTGACAGACAAAAGTGGTGGGGTTACAGGAGCAGAACATAAGCTTACATATTAGTGCTACACAGGTTCCTTAAACAAAAACATGGTTGCAAAGTAGGCATATTGAGGTAGTCATGAGCAACAGGGAGTCAAAATGTAGTAATAATATGTAGCAAGACTAATAAAAACTGAGAGACAGACACTGTGGTTCAACCTGAACATATGAAAAGCAAAGCAGCCAGTAACTGGCTCTTTCCTCTACCTGCCGGAAATGACAATCCCGCTTCCGGGAATCCTCAGAATGAGACAGAGCTGAGACCTGTCTTCTCCTGTTATATTCCTCTCTAGTGCTGGGATGAAAGGTTTGTACCACCACCGCCTAGCCTCTATGGCTGAATAGTGCGGCTACTGGGATTGAAGGTGTGTGCCCCCACTGCCTGGTCTGTATGGCTGAACAGTTTGGCTACTTTACTCTCTGATCTTCAGACAAGCATTATTTATTAAAATACAAATGAAATATCACTACAGCCATGTAACCTTTTTAAAACAAAGGTAGGGTTGCAAGATGGTTATAAACAATGTTTAGAAATTAAGACATGATTCCCATTCCTGCAACAGACAGTCCACAACCATTTGTACTTCAGGATAGAGGTGGGCATAATCATAAACAGAAATGGATTTATTTTGTCTTTACTATAAGATGGCTTTTAAGCCTAAGGTGGAGGCAGGCTTCTTCTTCCTACA